TATGTCAAAATTTTTAAGTACAAACCGTGATTTTTGGATTCTACAAGTATTTAAAGAGATCTAAGAGTTTACAACTATCTACGTAATACGTCACTGTTTATATATAAACGCGTTGGGAAAAACGTGTGGGGCATGGAAAATCATTACCTAAATCAGGGTCGTCTAAAGCCGTGTAAATCAACCAACCGGAATTGCGAAATTTTGTTTACGCGGATCAGCCCGAAGTCAAAAATAAAGAAACGCAAAAAGATGAAAACCGGCATTCTAAACCTGCCTTGGGGCACTAATTAAAAATGTCGGGAAGACAATTTTACTTCTACCGCGTTTCTTATATCAACACCTAATCCTAACCTTAATTTTAATTAAACCGATTAAAACGTCAAAATCACGTGTAGTAAAAAATTTGTTCCCTTTAACTGCGGACGACCAATTAAATTTTAAACTGTTCATTACGATTTTAACTGTTCATTACGTAACTATAAAAAGATTATACAGTCAGCCTTCTAAACCGAATCTAGATAAACCGAACGCTTAATAAACAAACTCTGTAAAACTGAATACAAAGTTTTAGAACATTTATAATAAATTTTATTAATAAGTTCGGATTAGAGACATAGCAAATTTTTAAAATCAAACTTTTTAAATATCCCTAGAGAAGCAGAGTTGATTATTAATTCAAACAAATTAGTCAAAATACTATATTATTAATTCAGACAAATTAGACTTTATTAATTCAGGCAAATTAAACAAGATACGGATTTTTTTACAAGAAAATATGATACATTCTATATTTCCCTATTTATTTATCCTTTGATTCAACTAACCCAGTCAGATCATGAAATCACACTTTAGACACTTATGATTTTTTATGGTAATTCAATAAATAAATAGTATTTTGGATCTTTTTTATCTTTTTTATGCTTTTTACATTCTAAAGGTTCAAAACTCCCAAAATGTTTTTTAAACTTTCTAGGAAGCTGAAAGTCCATAAATTGTTTATCACACATATTGTTTCCGATGGCTTCGAATAATATCTTTCTAGTAATAGAAGGTTGTGTTGGGGGTAACGGTAATGGAAGAATTTGAAGTTGCCTAACTCTACGATCAAACTTTTCACTAATTTCTTGATCATGTTCTGATGTAGATTTACATTGTTTGCAATGCTGATACCCAGTTGTGAAATAAACTTTACTTAATTTACTTAATGCGTTTGTATATTCATCATATTTTGTTGTCAGTGCAGTACGTGTCGTTACTGAAAGTTGATTAAATGTCTGTGATCTTTTATATTCCGGAAATCTTTCTAAAATTAATTTAGATGATTCTTTGTAAAGTTCTTTAAATCCATATCGTTCGGCCATTCTTAATGCCGGTAACGGATTTTTTCTAAACTCTCGCTCAAGAAATGCTTTCGCTGCCATTAAAATTGATTCCATTATATATTTATCCGCTATTCTTAAAAATTCACTTACATTATTCCAATTTATACTTATATAAGTATCCGGATATATATATGATATAAGCTCTTCGAATATTATCGGTGATTCGTCTTCTAACGTTATCTCCGGAATTTCATTTGTGAATGGTGATGCACATGAAAACATATCTTGGAATACTTTTGAGGCGAGTCCGATTATTGTTTTATGTAATAGAAACATTGTTTTATCCACTATTATTATGATATCTCCATCAGAGTAATAGTGTGATTTGCTACGCTCTGTTACTTGTGTCATTTTTTTAAACCTTTTTTGACTTGAAGTTTTTTTAAAAAAAAAAATTTATTAAAGACGATTGGCCTTTTATGCCTTTTATATCTGAAAAGCAGCTTTGTTAGATTTGTGTAACACAATTCACATATATCATGCCATAAAGTTCTAAAAATAAAATCAACTTTATAATCAAAGATATTATTTATCTCTATTATTTATACATTTAATTTATGCGGCGTGATTTTTCCTCGGATAGACTTTTTGCCTTCGGGTTATTGGACATAGTATTTTTTGTACTTAAAACTGTCCCCTTCAAGTATTGTATTTAGTTACACAATTAAGTGTGATACATACGTACATATCGTTATTCAATGATCGGCGTGAATCTTCAAACCTGCTTTAGGTATATATTACGTACGTACGAACGTATTTTTTTTTTTTATCGCTGATGTCCGCATAGTGTCCGCATAGCACCCGCACACGGTACACAGTACGTACGTACGTACGTAACTTCCGTCCACACTCATGCAGAAGATCGTTTTATAAAAATTTTTGCGTTTTTTCGTGGCACCTAATTTTGGTGATTAATTCCGAGCAGTCTAATTCGAATCCACATGGTGCTAAGATTTTGAATCGTTTAAGCTATATAAGCCTGACAATTTACATTAAACTACGTATATAGCCTGAAATTTGCAAATTAGGAAACAAAATGTTGCCAATGTTGTCAATTTAGTGGGATTTTAAAGCATTCTAGTGACATTTGCTGATAGTGACAATT